ATTATAAAGTAAAAGAAATTCAACTCTTAAAGGGACATTCTGCCCAAGCTGCAAAGATGTTTTGTCGCTCCAATCTTTTTAATATATCTCTAATGACTTTTCAAATTATTGTAAACGTTAAAATATCCAGCCGGTGGTCACATCGGACAGGCGAAATTGGTGGAAACACTCCCTCACCAGTTAAAATTAGAATGTGTAAATATAGCGCGTTTACCGCGAGATTATTTTGAAAGCGAGACTGCAAAAACAAATATATCACCTGTCGAACCACATCGGCGCTGCATCTTCGTTCGTTTTACATTAGCTTTTCTCTTCCATAAACTGCTGACACCTCTCGCACTGTCTACTAATTATGATGTTTGGGTTTTGTCTTACCCATTTCGACTTCCTCTTCTTTTTCTCTGACGTAGAAACCGTTTTCTTTCGCTCTAAAGTGTCTCAGTGGGAGTCGCCATTATCGTTTTTTACATTGTATTTACGCAGGCGCAAACCTGTTGTGACGTCATCAGGGCAGGGCGAGTTTGTAAACAGATCTAGCTAGACCTAAATGGAACTTCCTCAAATCAATAGCGAAAGTTGATATTTTGGAGAAATCGAGTCGTGCGAATTCCATAAGAATGTAAGTACAATTTCCTCAAAAGGCATCGTATGAAATTCACAGTTGTGTGGAAGATCCCTTAAAAAACTCCTAAGTCATTAAGTTTGTGTGTTTTATTGTTGAACCTTTACTGGTGTTGATATCCTAGTTCTGAACATTTGTATGATTATCTTGTTTACATTACGAGTATTGACACACGTACACATGCAGAACCAAGTACATATGACATCTGGGGTAAATACATCTGTTATTCAACTGTACTAAACAATGCTTGGCCAGACCGCGGTTTGAACACGGGACCTTCCGAACTCCAGACGGATGATGTACCCACCGGTCTAACTGGTCGCCGACGATCTACTCTGTTCAGTTCCGCTATACTCTTCCCTCCTTATTCTTAGTCTTCGCCCCATAAGCCATCAAATCTAACAACCCAGGGTCGGGTATCCCTTTAATACGCATTCGCCTACTGCTTAAAACAAGGTTTGGTCACGGCACCAAATGTAACAGGAGCTGGAAAATGCGCGGCCAGACTGGGGTTTGAACCAAGGACCTTCCGAACCCTGGATTAACAGGTCGCCGACGATCAATCCCGCCCAGTTCCGCAAGGAAACTATAGTCGGAATTAAATGCTGTTATATTTACCCTTGGCGGGTTTTCGTCTTTTCGTTCTTTTTTATTTTTTTTATTTGCCCGGCGTCTTTTAACGGGCAACAGATCGAACAGAAGGAATATCAGGCCCAAGGCACCATATAGGAGGCCTAAACATACGATAATGACAAGCCGAAATCATGTATCATATAGATATGAAATACCTATATAATTTTATTCCCTGTTTTATTGTAGTATTCAAATTGTCATAGTAACAGATGTTATTATTATGAACACGTTCACGTGTCCAGATCTTCGACATCCTTCGATGTGGATTTTTCATGAAGGCAGGGTCAACGTCCATGAATACTTATCATATGCATGAATTTTACAATATGGTAAATACAAAATGGTGTGAGTATAGGAATCTTAAACCAGGAAAAGTGGGTATCAGATTTTATTTTATGAAAACTGATTGACAAAAGACTGTAATAGTGTTACAGATACTGTAATAACAATTACTATGAAACAGTGTCAACGTTGTGTAAACCATATTTAAACTATTAGTTTTATACCGAAGCGGAAAAGTATGTCAGATTCCATTACTGATAAGACAATCATCATGTTGGACACGTCAATTTACATACTTCTAAAACCAGCTTGTTTTTATCATAATTGTTTAATATTTTGTTTAGTAACAATATTTTTTCACCATGAGGATTTATGAAAAAATAATGACAACCGGTAAATTTGTAATTAAACATATACTAAACAAAAAAGAAAGGTAACACTACTTTATTCTGTGATTAATTAATTAACCCCTTCATAAATCCTTACCAATCATGTACGAATAAAGTAATTGATCATTTCTGATAAAACTGCAGTCATTGTTCATTATTAAACTTTGCGTTCAGTTGATTTTATTCGACTGTAAAGGACTTGGGGGTCAATTTCAAAGGTAACACCATTAGTAACGGGTATGGCCACCGTTTGCGAAGTAAATAGCATTGCAGCGTCGTCGCATGGAACTCGTAAACCGGCGGATAATTCGAGGAGAGATGTTGTTCCATTCAGCGATCAAGGCTTGGGCCAGCTCCTGCAAGTTTGACGGCTGTTTTGACGTTCTCTCACGCGTCGCCCAAGAACGTCCCAGACATGCTCAATCGGTAACAAATCAGGTGATTTAGGTGGCCAGTCTAACACTTGTACGTTATTCTGTTGAAAAACGGCGCCAACGCATTGGCGTCTTAAGAATGGCAGAACCACTGGTCTTAAAATTTCGTCCCGATATCGAATGCCGGTTAAATTGCCATTTAACACAACAAGCCTGGTACGAGTCCCCCCACAAATACCACCCCAAACCATTACACTTCCGCCGCCAAATTGGTAGGCCCTCAACCTGTTGCGGACTGATTGGGGAGACACACGACGCCCAAACAATGTCCTTGTAGTCTCTACTGCGGTTACGAATCGATTGCGCAAGTATATCAATCGTATACGACGGTCATCCCTGGCGGTCGTTTTACGGGGTCGCCCGCTTCGGGGACGATCGGATGTTGACCCAGTTTGGTTTAAACGACTTACCAACTGGCAAATTGTCTTAACACTACAACCAAAATGCCGTGCAACTCGACGGCGAGACTCCTCAGCCTGGATCATGCCTACAGCCCTTTCTCTCTGTACTTGTGACAGCCGGGGCATAATGATAAAGTTGATAGATAGCAAGATTCGGTGATTTCTAAGTCCTAAGGATCTAAGGAACAGTTGTCAGTTTGAATGTTTATGAAATTCAAGCGAAGATACAAGTTAGTCGCAGAAAACCTCGTGCAGCTCTTTCGCTAATACAGACTTTCACGCTTGAATGATTTTGGTAACCCCCTTGGATTTTGTAATGTAAAACATTACCATTTTCTAATATTGCACAAATGTCATTTTGTTTTCACTCATTTACATGTATTCGCCAAGGAAACATGTTAACCTTTCTTTTTTTGTTGAGTACTTTAAAATGAAAAAAAAAAAAAAAAAAAAACAACAACAAAGCTTCCTTTCAAATTATGTTTAGGTTGTCAATGTGAACACATATAAGTATGGTATGACCTTCGATGAAGGTTGACAGAAAGGAAATTTGTTGAAAATTGTTATGGGATTACATTTAAAAGAAAGGGTCCATGCAGTGATATATTTTGAAATATGATAATAACAGTGAAGTCTAATAGGGATAGGGCTGTTGTAGTACTCAATGCATTGAATTACAGAAATGACTTTTTCAATGCATCATTGGTTATCGAGCAGCTGAGAACACGATAGGTACAAAACGGTGTGGGCAACTAAAGTATTGACAAAAAAAGCTTTACTGCAAAAGGAGAAGCCATAGAGAGGAAGGAAACGCAAAAAGACAACTAGTGTGAACGAAAGTGTTGATATTGTGAGCAATGAAGAACAAAAAGTGACAATACGGCGAATCAGTCAGCGGGATTTCGTAGTTCGATAATTAATGTCGCTAATGCAGTCATATATGGAAGCCCACCGAGGACGCAGAATAATCAAACTCTAGCTACGTCAACAGCCATCACTTTCAATGACAAAAATGATATGATATTAAAGAAATGGCAAAAAGTAGATGTTGTTGGGCAACAGGTCACTGGTTTAGCCAACAGAGCTACAAATCTCAAGTAAAAAAATCTTGAAGTTGAAAAAAGTCATCAGTGCTAGAAATGACCGTTAAATGTGTATCTGACATAACAGATGACACCGTATCGAAGAATGCTGGTCCCGATCGAGGATCTGCACAGGAATTTGACTCCATGGAACGATAAATGAACGAAATAGATTAAGATAGAGACCGGTATCGTGGCGCAGACCTTCAGGGCAGGTCAATGGAAAACGATCCGGTGTTTTGGGGGCTTAGTGGTGAACATCGCCAATACATTACTGATGGTCTCCTCAGAGATTTTAATGTACTACGAAATGGAAATCCAAAAGAACATTGGGTTTCAGTAGATTCACTAGAGGTCAGGATCAACCTATATTGGCACAATTCATCCATTAGCAAGACCTGAGCAGTGATTGTATAAACGAAAATATGTACAGAATAGTAGAACAAAGATTTAAAGATTGTTACACTCAGAAAATAAGAACAAACATTATTTAATGCTGCTCGAGATGACCTATATAAACAGGTAATTGAATATTGTTGCTATCACAACATTGAAAGGGGACTTAGAATATGTGAATGCTGTCCAAAAATGAAACTGAAAAAGAGTTCAATTCTGTCTTACAATGTCCATCATATATTGAAATTAGACGAAAATATAATAAAGTGTATTATCATAAGATAAGTGTGGAATAAAATCTAAATATTTTCAAAATATGTATGAGTGCAACTAAACAGCCATAGAATATATGTTTCACACATGTAGATCTATTAGATACATACTAAATACACACGTGACCCGTCTAAGTGTACGGACACTCATTATATATGCATTATATATTTAAACCGGCAATGAAATATCTGAAATCTCATACCATCAATAGGAAAATCAATTGTCATTACTTCTGTATTACTCTTTTGGTCGTTTTGTAAACATAATACTGTTATAAGTTAAGTAGGAGACTACTATTTAACTCTGTGTATGCGGTATTGATAATTAAAGATATTTATGACATATATTTCTAATATCTATTGCAGCATCTGGCAAATCATCTTGGATTAAACCGCCCACCGAACCTTGTTATATATCAAGGCAGTTTCAGACTAGGATATACTTGTGTACAGATGCTGCCGTGAAAGTCAGAAATTGAACTGGTAATCATGTGTGGTATATGGGCCATCTTTGGTAGTAACATTGATATGTGCTCACATTTTAAGGCAGCGTATAAAATAGCTCATCGTGGTCCCGATGCTTTCCGATTAGAAACCATTTACCAAATTCCTTCGTGTTGTCTTGGATTTCATCGCCTTGCCATCCTGGACGTTCAACATGGAATGCAACCGATGAGAGTTTCCCAGCATCCTCACATTTGGCTTATTTATAACGGGGAGATCTATAACCACCAAAACGTAAGTCAAACTACAACTTTATATAAATGTTTCTGAATTCGTTATTCACAGCTTCTGTCTTTCTTGGTGTCATTTTCAGATTGATGTTCAGCTATCAACTCTCGTGGAAAAGACAACTTTTTACCCTGCAAAATCGTGGTGTAACACTTCGCGAGAGACAGAGACAGAGAGACAAGCAGACAACCAGACAGATGGGGAGGGGATAAAGAGAAAGACAGGGTAGACAATTAAACTGATATTTGATAGAGATGGAACTACATATCTGATAGATATATAGAGGCAAAAACGATATAGATCTCGCAGGAGACACAGACATGTTTACCAAAGAATCAACTTCCTCTCACTCAACAATCTTCAAACATTGTTACCTTCTCTTTGTTAGTGCTTAATGTACAATTATTAAAATAAGTATGCTTTCAACATACATCGTATATTTTACAGAGGATTTGATGCTAAACTCTACTACAAACCTGACAACCTTTATATATTATCATATGCTTTTCATTCGTCATTATATATGTTAATAGTGTTGGAATGAAACATACATACAGCTGTTACGGCATCTTTTGTCAAACAGATGTGCTGATGTTTTCAGAAGGTAAATGATTAATTTATTATGTAAGTTATTACAACACCAACATACTATTAGCCAGGTAACACACAGCGTTAAACATATATTGTAACAGATGATGGTCGTATTATCAGGTGAAAAAATCACATCAGAATTCCATAATCATGATTCTGGCTAAGTATTGGTCATCTTTATGTCAGGAACTGGAGTTAAATACAAACCAGCTACACGATTTCCCGCGTGGTTGCTATGGTAAACAAACATGGAGGACGTTTCTTTAGTTTTTAGAACGAACGAAGATTGTGAAGAAATAAAGATGGTTCTAGGAATGCCATGGATCATTAGTTATTTCGCTATCACCGATATGGACATCTCCTATGATAAATCATAAAGTTGAGAATATTGCGTTTCTGAAATTACGTTGCTGTTTCTTCGGGTTCACAAAAAGACATGATTGTATGCAGAGATACAATCTTACTGTGCCACGGAACGAATAGTAGACAGTTCAATTAATTGGATCTGACGAATAAGGTTATGACACATCGTCATGATCTTAGTCACAACACTCACATAAAACACACCTAATGAAGGAGTTCTATGCAAAAAAAACAAAGATAATTTTCATTTGAAAATCGAAGCAACTGGCCATATGTTACCATTTTGGATTAAATTAAAAACGGGAAAATGTGTTAGGCAATCATCGTATTGAATGTTGTACTACAGTCACAACATGAACCACACGTAACAAAGAAAGAATTGGTAAAGTTTGCAAAAATATGTGTAGAATTAAATACGAAATATTTCTGGTAATAGTATAAATCATTTTTCAGATTTCATCAAATTATCTATTAACTAATGAAATCCAGGGTCTTTGGTGTTGAAAGCTTTTAAGATTAAAGAAGGTTTCAAGAAAACAAGACTGTACATGGATTTGCTTAGTGTGGCTTTTTACAGTATGTCTTATAATTATCCATTGTAAAATAAATTTGAATTTTCGTCTCAGTTTGTAGGTGTAGATTTTATAAGTATGCGGTGTTTACCCGTTTACCACAAGACTACGCATTTTTTTACTGAAACATTTAATTGCTGTTGGTCTGTTACACTCAGTATATTGTAATCATTACACTGTCAGGTCTAAATGCATATAAATACTGTTTAAACAGTAAAATTATGATTTTGATTTTGGAAGAATATAAGTACTAATATTAGGACATTTCAAGATTCTAAGGTCTTGGTAAACCAAACCTTGTTAGAAATTGGTTCAATCAACTAAATTGGATAAGAAATATAGTTTTAACTGAAACATAGTTTCAATAAATACCTAAGATACTCGTAGGAATTGAAGTCTACTGCACTTTAGAGTCGACAACAGGGTAAAAGATAGTACAGGATGCACATCATTCCCCTCTCACACAAAGGTACCCTGGGGAAAATCATACTTTTTATATTCCTGCCAATTAATCTGGTTTATAGCACCAGCGGTGTCCAGATTGTCTTGTAAGATATATTGGATACAGGGGGAAAAATCAAAAGGAAATGTGTAATAATGTTCTAGCTTTGTGAAAGCTGAAGAAGAAGTACAATTTTAAAACCCTTAAAGCAATAATACACTTTTCTTCTAAAATTAAGTATCCTGGTATCCGAGCAGCCATGTACATCTTAGACTACAGTTTGAGTGTTTGTATTATTAGAATATTACGCCTATGAGCACAAACAGAAAACAAATTTGAGTATACATACTATGAATTAAGCATACTACATTTGAAAGAAATATTTTGACGAGCTACTTTTGTCTTCTATTTATCCTGCAACTTTGATAGAAAATCAGACCATTGAAACTTAAATAGTTTTGTTGTTCTGTCTGTGTTTACCTGACGTTGACGTTACGCTGAATGTTGCCTGATGACAGACGCCAAAGTAGTTGCCCCGCACGAAAATTAGTTCCAAATTTCATGGGATATAACAGCCAATTTATGAATGTTCATTACAACAAGTAAAATCGGTTATTTCAGCAACTATCCATATTTCTAAACGTAAATTCATAGAGTTATTCTGTCCAATAACCGCACGTATTTTTTCCGTCACTATATGTTGCAGACGTATTCCACCAATGGCTGTGCCGTTTGAAGGAAAGAAAATATTTAACTGGAAATATGTATGTAATAATTCCAAGTGTAAATGTTAATATTGTATATGATACTGACTGTTTATTCTTTCAGATTTTGATATTGTACAAGATATCCAGGTCATGCATTGGCCATGAATGTATGATGATTCGAAAAGACGAAAAGCTCACAAACTTTCTTTGTTTTATAGTATAACAAAACAATTGTACACCTAATTTTCTCTCAGATTTATTGCCAGAGGATATTGGAAATCTAGTTTTATACAATGTACGAAACGCACTCTTACTAAGACAATTCCGACTTCACCAGTCGCAATATCCATTCCTTCCTTCTACTACAAAACTTTGGAATGATCTAGGTAACAACATAAGATACTCTCCTTATGTCAATTCTTTTGAAGATTAATTTTTAAAAAATCGTTATCTAGTAATCTTAATCTAAGCGAACAAGTAGCAAAGTATAGAGCTAAAAATAAGTATTCTTCACTGTCATCTGAAAAATCGAGTGAGCACTCTGAATTATGATCGTTTCATAGCAATTCTGATAGGATATGAGTACTTATAGATGTCAATGTTGACATCCGTGTGAATATTCGTATAATTTCTTTTTTACTTGTCCTTTATATGCTAATTTCCGAAATTCACTAAACGGAGAATTAACATGGTATGACAGGGATAAAAATTGTTGACATACTCTGTAACGTTGACATACTATAAAGATTGTGAAAACTGTACAGTATTTACTAAATATGATATTATTAATTGTCTTATCGCTTCATATTTCGCATTGTAATTGTTAAATCATGTTAAATTGGTAAAACCTACAGAAATCAGTTGTTCCACATTAACGATCAGTTTTACTATCTCTATAGACATTCCTTGGGAATAATTTAGCCCAGCAACAACAAATTAGACTTCATATTGATTTCGTAAACGACAAACCTCTATGAAATATTTACATTTGCACATCATCTCACCATTCGCTTGAACATGGGAAAAGGTCGAAATAAATATTGATAGCATACATAGCAACATATGTGTACACATTTTGCATTCGACAGCGTTGCAATATTTTATTCTGCAAGTTTATTTTCAATACACAATCAGTGGCAACCGGATTGTTATGACAAGGGAATGATATCATTCAAACATGCGATGTCCAACTGGTGCCCTTTAATAATTCACTCTACATTTCCATGTAAGAAAAAAGAAAAAGTGAAACCCGACAGAACGTCCCCATACAACCTCGAGATATATTTGATAAATAATACAATATATTCTAGAACTTTAACGCTTAATAAAGCCATGGCACTAACCTGTTAATTAATGGTTTCACAATACATCACGACAAAAACGCACATGGGCACCGCCATTTTTACTTCACCCGGACAAAACATGCGGTACGGAAAGAGTTAGGTCTCGTAAGCATCTCCTTACGTTCTTATCATCGTTCTAATAAACCTGTGTTAACAATCATATATCTTTATGCTACAGATATAGTGTCAGATTACTAAGCAATGGTGTATATTTCTACAGTTTATAATTTTGCAGACAGCTTAAAACCCATGTAAAGTTAGATGACCAGCACGAGATACAACAAGGTAAACAAAGACGCCCTTAGTAATTTGTCAGTAGTAGACATCTGATTTTACCTGGTGTGTTACCAGGTAAGTTACAATAGATTTGATGTATTCTCACTTCCAAACACGTTTATTTCACAGCTCAAAGAACAGTTTGGCTTCCAATACGCTACTAATTGTGACGGAGAGGCAATCATCCATCTATACGTCCAAGGCGGGATAGAGTTTACAGCCAGACAACTAGACGGTGTGTTCGCCTTCTGTCTCCTTGACACCGCCAACAGGAAGGTCTACCTCGGCAGAGACACATTCGGTGTGAAGCCGCTATTTCGTGTTCTTACAGCTGGTGGTATTTTATCAGCATGCTCCGAAGTCAAAGGTACTTATCTATGGTGATTATAAAGAAACACATGGTGACCATACCATATCCTCGTCTATCACTGAAAAACCCGTGAGAAAGGAAGAAGGCGCAATGTATGTGTTGTCTTCAAGGTCTGTCGTTACACAATTTTCGTATTTTCTCAAATAAACCTTTCGATAAATAAAACGTCATCAACATGCTAGTAATTCGAGAAAACAGCAAAAAGACCAGCATTGAAATTCAATAAAACTGAGAACAATATGAACAATAAAGATTCCCGTAACAGTTCACGGAGAATAAGACCAGGAGTTCCGGAGGAGTAAGCATTTTTTGCTTCATCGACGATATCTGCAAGGTTGATTATAAACAATGAAACTATTCTCGTCTATCATAATACTAAACACAAATGTTTTCTACAGTTATTATCGACTTGCAATGAACGTCTGGTGTCCGCAAACGCAAGGACAACCTAGATATAGATATTTACATGTATCATGAATTTTAAAAGAACATGTACAGAATGCGCTTACCATATTGTACAAGCATGAAAAAATGTTATAAGTATTTCAAAAAAATAGATATACATGTCCTCTCAGACGTAGTAGTAAGTGCAGATTCATTTGCTGGTCTTTGAATATTTATTGAAGAATATAAAATATAAAACAAATTATAAAATATCTGTTAAACTGACTTTTTCAGGCTCCTTTATTTATGATGGTTACGAGTCTGTCTATAACTGCATGTTGTAATATTTTGTTTCCTCCACAGTTTTAATTTGGGCTGCTAAAGCTTCCCTACTACAGTGAAATTTCACAAAAAAATAAAATAGAATTTATTTTTTCAGGTCTCATGGACATGGTAGACATTTCAGCTCATGTGAAGATTCAAGAAGTAATGTCAGGGCATGTGGAAACATACAATCTTGATTCTGAATTTCGAACTTCATTTGAGAAAATATATCAATTCCATCGCATAGGTGATCCGCCGTTGTACACAACTTTCGCAAAAGTATTAGGTAAATGTGAAGCCTAAATACAATAGTCGACCAATGAAATACATATATTAGTATATATTATCAATGCAGGGGATCTTACGTGTGTGTTATATTGCGCTAACTGTATCCGATTTACAACACAACTGCAGATTTGTAGAAATATCAATACACGCACGTGCAGCATTTAAGTAATGATTTACAGTCACAAAGGTATAATAGATTCATATAATGGAGCGAATTAAGAGATTCAAGTACACGTAAGACTTAAACAGTGCTGATCGAAGAGGCAGAAAATCATAACATCGTTATACAGTTATTTACCAATCCTATGAATCAATACTCACACATGTGTGCACTCATAACAAATAGTTTGTACCTGTTGCATACGCCTGTTCTATATTGCTAATACTATACCAGGCTAGTCTTCAAAAGCATTATATATTACACAGAAAATGACACCAAGGCTAGTATCCGGATTCTTTTAGAAAGTTCCGTTGAAAAGAGAATGATGGCAGATCGCCGAATGGGATGTGTTCTCTCTGGTGAGTGTACGGCAGAAGAGAAAATACACTAAAATATTATTCTTTTTGATCGGTTTTATTATAACAAACTATTTACTTCTCAAACATGACATGATTTATCATTTTAATGTAGAGTTTAACAAAAGTAAATAGGAACGTAGTCTAAGCTCAGAGGTACCTGTAGAACACGTGTCCATTGTTCACAACAGACGTTTGTGGGACGTGGAATGTTCGATACGTGTATGAATCGAAAATGAATCAAACCACCAAGCACGAAAGTGTTTAAACATGATCAAACGCACGGAATCATAAACTCTTATAATTATATTTGTTTAAGATTCCCAGCACTTTATAAATTTCCATTTTGAATAAAAAAGAATTCAACCAATCAATATTTCAATCAAATTAAGTCTATCTTATCGAAACAATACATATGGACATGTTTTCGTCTCTGTGTTATATATATCAATCTCCAGCATGTCAAACTTTCTATTTCAAATTGAAAATCTTCTCAGATGCCCTTGAAATCAATCAACATTTCGATCAAATTAAGCCCGTGCTGGATAGTCCTTGAATTTCATTCTTTTCATATTGTACATATTGTCATGTTTGCACCTCTGCGTTGCTTGCATTTTTATCCATCAGATGACTCTTGCGACAAGGTAGACATCATCGGACATACAACGGAACATAAAATAATCCAACTTCAAACGAAATATATCATTTTGATGACAAGAAAACTGTCTCAATCTTCACCAACCAGTCATCTCCCCAAACCTTGTGTTGCTATTTTTCTTTCAGCCATTGACATCATCTTTTTACATAATAATGCAACTGGTAGCAAGACCTTAAGTATGGAAACCTTCCATTGGAGAGCTAAACATGATATAAGAACTGGTGTTACTACTGTTTGCAACAGGCAAATCGAAATTATCAATTTTTACCATAAAGCTTGATGGAAAGAGTTCGTCATCGGTTTCTTTGTAGAAACAGCCCGTATAAAACTGTTGTTGTAGCAGTCTCTCGTCGCTTTGGTTTTCATTTCTGGACGTCATACACGATGCTCTACCGTTAATATTCTTGTTAATATATTCATTCGAAACATTATCTGTACTTTTTGTTTTTGTCATATATTTTGATAAAGTCTTTGATATATGATGCTTTTTCTGAACACAAAAAAAAACAACTCATCAGTATTTGTGCTGATGTACATACAATAGATGTAATATGCTGCATATTAAAGCGAATGTTAAACTCTATAAAAATAACATATACATATACATTGCCAAATTTGTAGGTGGCTTAGACTCAAGCTTAATAACAGCCTTGTTGGTTAAGTTGGCGAGAAAACGTGATCTAAACTACACAATACAGACATTTTCTATAGGATTGGACGGGAGTCATGATTTACTAGCAGCAAGAAAGGTTAGTTTAACAATTACACTATTACAATAGATTTATGGACCTATAAACCTGCTCTACGTGTTCTATAATGGACCAGGGTCGAATCCGTAATGATTTTCTAGTGCCTCTGCACAACCATTAATAGACTTAATTCTTAAAATTCTAGTCGAATTATGGCTGCAAGGAGATGGTTTTCAGATAGTCAGACAGATAAATATCTAATTTCTACATATCTTACGATATTGTTTTACAGTCTTAAACCTCAAACACAGGTGAGCGACTAAGTGTCTCAATGATAATTAATCATAAGCTTAATAATGTAATGGACAGGTTTTATGTTTAGCTCATAATTATGCACCAATAACAGTTGTGAAATTGCGGAAATAAGGCCTATTGAATATCAAATAGAAACATAAGGCTCATATACAGCAAAACGTGTGACTTTATAAAGTTTATCGGATTGTAATGAAGTATACTGGAGATGAGATAAGATATCGTTGTTATTTGAAATGTGTCGAGTGGAAATTACAATGGATAATGTGATTTTTCTTGTAAATTGAACAGTTGATTACGAGGCAAAAGGAGACTCCAGGTTGACTGCTTAGGCTAACAGGGGCTTTCTAGATCATAAATCAACTACAAGTAGCAAAAACGATTTCTTTTATGATGGATTTAATTCTTTACATTCATATATAATATAAACAAAACCGAAACTCAACGTCCTGCACTGTGTATGAAAACAAAATCATGTATAACTTGAATGTGATGTTTGTTTGTGATACCTGTAATAACAAAAGAAAAGAAGAATGAAATCTAATCACTTTTGGAATGTGATTTCTGCTGCTCACTTGCAAATTGTACGTAAACTACTTATGAACACGTTAGCGTTGTTTGTTTTGTAATATTACAGGTTGCCCTGTATTTGGGAACAGAACATCATGAAATCGTGTTTAGTCCCGACGAAGCAATCTCAGCCATTGAAAACGTCATTTACCACTTGGAGAGTTATGATGCTCCTACCATACGAGGAGCAGTTGGTAAGTACAGACCTTAGAAACAACTTTAATTAATTTGGATGTTTTTTCTCCTAAGACAATAATTATCAGGCAATACATATAAATCTTTTTCAGTACGCTGTTAACCTGTGATTTAGCACCTCTGCATTCAGCGGTAGAAAAAGAACGTTGAATTAACATAGAATAACATTTATTACAATCAGATACTGACGAGATGAAAATCATGTTGAAAATGGAGAATGGAAAAAGGGAATATTTCAGCAATTTGATGTAAATTGATACAACATATTACGGAAATCATTGCGATCGAAATTGAATATACAATTATACATACTGGTGATGACATCAAAATTTAATGCTAGACAGCTCTCTGTTAAATGTTGAATGAAATATTAAGTTCACACATTTTTTGCATTATCGCTATACAGGGCAACGGGTACGTCAGTATTATGAATTCAAAACCAAACCAAACGTACATTGATTAGCTTTCTATAAATTACAAAGGTATGTACCTGCTTTGCAAATACGTGAAGGAAAATACTGATACGACGGTGTTGTTATCTGGAGAAGGAGCAGACGAGATCGCCCAAGGTTACAACCACTTTCACATAGCGCCCTCTGCTGAAGACGCCGACAGGGAAAGCAGACGACTATGTAAAGACATATGTTTGTTTGATGTAAGAAGGGTGGACAGAAACTCCGCAGCATTTGGGTATGTTATTTGTTCAGCATTTCAAAGCAAAAAAAATAACCAATGAAACATTTGGAAAAAATAGTATCATGCAATTGTCAATACAGCGATTAGACTGAGATTTAATCCATCACAAAAGATACACAACAGAATATCAGCATGGATTATAGATTTCACGACGGACGTATAAATATTAACACGGACGTATAAATTTCAACACGGACGTATAAATATCAACACGGACGGATAAATATCAATAACAGCATGTTCGATCGCGTGTGGTCTTAATTGGTAAGTTCAACTGTTTCTACAAATGTAGAACTTCCATGATATGTTTAAAAGAATGTCAAATGTTACAGATTAGAGATACGGGTGCCTTTTCTGGACCATCATTTCAGCAGTTATTACCTGTCCTTGGATCCTGAGTTAAAAATGCCACACAATGGGGTTGAGAAAGAGCTACTCCGATATGCCTTCAAAGACACAGGATTACTACCGACAGAGATTTTATGGAGGCCCAAAGAGGCATTTGCTGATGGCATGGCTTCTCCGACCAAGTCGTGGATTGAGTGTATTCAAAACTTTGTTGAGGGACAAGTGAGTTTGAAATTGCACATACTTTTATTGCTTATGTTATTTAGGCAACAGGACAACGGGAAATGTGAAAGACTTATTGAGTAATAAACTAAATAATTCCGACATGGACAATATTTTTTTTACATTGAACAATAATATTGAAATTTACAAAAGCGATTTGGTAGTATTATTGAAGGTTTGAATATATATATGGCAGTAGAGAAACAAGGTAGAGCGAAATAGGACAGCAATATATTATTTGTTTTTATTGCTATCGAATTGAATGTAGAAAGGTACAATATGTGCAGAATAAATTAAATAAGTAAATATTAACTAATAGAATATGTCTTCATACATTAACGATATTTATATATTTCTCCAGATACACGACTCGGAAATGGAGTTTTATAGTCAACAATATTCCCACAATATCCCTATAAGTAAGGAGTCCTTGTACTATAGACGAATATTTGAGAAGTTCTTTCCAGGCCAAGGTCACCTGATCCCCTACTTTTGGACGCCAAAGTGGTCTGTTGCTTTCAGGAATGTAATATAAAAACAGAAGCATGGTGGACTCATCAGGATGTGATTAAGTATAAATTTCAAAGCTCTCATCATCAATTCTCTGTTAGCCAATGACTATACTATACCAATCCATGACAAGCTCGACTTTGCTAGTGCACTTCTGTGTTAACTTATTCAATGTCGTTATATAAGCAGTGCAGAAGTTTACGTTAGAAAACTATTGTAAATAACGTTTTAACAAAGTAGCTCGTAAAATGAATGTCTGGGAAACGTTTTAATTTCATCTCTTTATCGTGTATGGTATAAGCATTTTCCTTTTCACCTCCTACCATCTTTAGAGTGTAACAGTCACATTTTTTTTCATTTATACAATACTGAAGTCTAAAGAAAAGAAAACATACCACCATATCAACATAATCAAAACTCGAATTCCATAAACCCAGGGCAAACTTTACACGGAGATCCCTTAAAAAGAACAGGGGAAATAAGTGTTCCGGCAGAGTAAGCGTCTTCTGGTTCATCGAAGGCACACTCCATGTAAACCTTGGTCTATCTTAGTAAGTAATGTTTTCGAGGGATAACAAGCTAAACAACAACGGAAACATCGGGTTAACTTACAGGTATCAAACACGCCCAGCTTCATCACCTCAAACATCAAATTTCCTGGCAAGCAAGCGACAATGGTAACAATCAGCGGCATAGCAAATGCTTTTAGGAGTGCATACCTTCAAAAGAAGGTCCTGTAACGACCCCCCGGTAGCTGGCCTTGAAGGGATGGGGTTGAAGCTGTTGGATTTCAGTAAAATATATAGTTTTTTTTTATTATTTACACCAACACATTTCATTCAACCAAAATGAACAAATGCAATAAACGCTGTTTCGAGCGTATGCTTACGCATGCAAGTATACATTATTGTTACGCCACTGAAAATAGTGAATTCAGTATACATTTCTATCCCAAAGTGTATATGATGTTCATAAAGGTTGAGGTTTGACTACTGTTTAATCGTTAATTTCCCTAGTGATCTTATTTATGTTAAATCTAACTCTCCGATTATACATGTCTATCAAATGCTGAAGAGACAAACTTTGACATGGATCATCATAGTACTTGTACATTTAATGATAATTATTTATCAAAGAAATCAAATAAATTGTTTTCGAAAAACTTCAAAATTCGAATCCGACTAAAATATATGATTGTGGAGTATGTGCATAAACACAACATGAAAGCACCAGCATGTGAACATCCTTATAAACAAAACTCTCATTCAATTGAACTAGGACATCCATATAAGCAATGCCATAAGACGACCCCATAATTTTCATCAACTGGCATCTATTGAATCCCTGTGTTACGAGTTTGTCCGTCAGTTGACGACTTCTTTCACAAAATTCATGGTAATAGGAACAGGACCTTTGATATTGAATCATTTGCAAAATGTAAACACTATAGATTGGGGATGCATGGTATTCCTATCTAGAAATTAAAAAAATTCACAATAGGGAAATTGAAATCACATTTATCATACAACGTGGTGGAAAGCGGTCTATGTTGATTTCCTTGTACGAAAACATCGAGATAAGAAAAGATCAAGATAAACAACTGGTGTAGGAGAGTGTGTGGCGTCGGGTCCAATTTCAGATTCTGTTGGGTTATATACGATGAACTTGATCAATAAATGTGGTCTCAGTTATCAATCTTGGTGAATCCATCTTAGTACAGGTTACAGTACAGGTATGCTGGCGTTAGGTGCAAACTACTCAAGTATACGATACAATATAGCTCATGCCTTTGTTGTTGTTTGATAATAATCTTTATGACTAACACTAGACAGATGATTAAGATATTGCAGATAATGGTTAACACGTAGGCGCTTTATAATATGCCTTTTGTCATAGGCTTATAACCAAAGGCTCTTAACCATAGGGTCATTACCACAGGCTCTTTATCATAGGTACTTTACCATACGCTCGTCTTGGTCTTTCCGGGAACCCATCTTTTCTGCCACAATAACATCCAAACAAATCTTCTAATCATGAAATAGCATTAGGTATGAAGATAATTTTACACAAGTTTTCATTTAAGTGGGATTTATAAATTAACTCACGTAGAACTTGCCGTGAGTTTAGCAAATTTAAATTTCGTGTTGGGTTTCATCGATATTACATAAAAGGGAAAAACTTCAATTAGTTTGTGACATAACGTTGATAACATTCGTAAAAATGACATTCCATTAGAGTACAACCATTCTATATTCTGACAATATTACTTATAGAGAAGAAATTATTGATAGTTACAAAAAAGCTCGAATAAGGTTAAAAAGTCCATCGTTCACTTTGAAATTATGTTCGCACTAATACGGTATTATATTTCTGCTTCTATGGTTACGGTCAATTTAGAAACATGTGACTTTACTCTTTATTCGGTTTTTATTCACATTTGTAATATATGATGTAATTAATTTGAACTGTGTCTTCCTAATTATGTGTATATTGGGGAAGCACAAAGAGGATAATGGATAATGATTCGTAATATACTTTAGCGTAATTCACATGGGGAGGGGGACCGTGCTATTATTTATCACCGACAGGCTGACACGGCTAATGGTTAAGCCGGGGATTTTGACCTTAGGTCAATGGGGCTGTCAAGGCTTCAGGGCTATTCTTACGTAAACTTATTATTTATGCGTATGGTTAGGGAATGTCTTGTCGGGGTACGAGAGAGTTACTCTGTGGAGGACAGACGGGTGGGGGACTGTCTCCGGATACTTAGTCAATTAGCTAAGGGTTTCTCAGTTGTTGATCTGTATTGATGTAGTATGTGTTGTATAAAGTGTAAATAAACCTGTAAATTTCCACTGACTCCGCTGATATATATCCGCCCGGTCACAATACAATGCAAGTTTGGCTTATCTATAATGGAGAGATTTATAATCATATGAATGTAAGTTTGATATACAATGATTTCATTGACCCAACGTGCGCTGAATTGTAGAAAGTAGATAAAATGAAACAAAACCGGATGTTTTGATGTGAAGAAATAATAATGAAATAAACAAATTAAAAAGTAATATGAAATACTTAAATAAGATACCGTTATCAAAATGCATAGAATCGCGGCCCATTTTGTAACTTTATAGCAATCATAATTTTCATCAACCTGCTTCTTTGAAACCCTGTGTTACGAGTATGTCGCCAAGATGACGATTCTGGCACGAAAATTGTGTTAATGGGGGAAATCTATGATAAGCACGAATACTATTAATGTCAATGTCTTTTACGTTTGGGGGAAACGGTGGTCTAAACCATTGCTCCAGTGCAAGATAAAAGTGAGCTATTTCACACATTTGTCATACAATCAACTCAAATTTGCAATAAATATCCAGTCAAAATTTGATAAATCAACAACCGCTTGGTTCAACAATATACTCGAATTATAAAATATTCTTTCATCATATTGTCTAGGAAAGTAAGAAAACTCAATGTTAATCCTGAAAAATATCTCTTCCTTCAAATTGTATTTTGACTTCCCAGTCCAAAGATATCGCTTTCTGTTCTGTCATTTACATTTTTTCCTTTTCCGAGTTCATTTTGCTTTTCATTCCCAAACTCATCTTCTGGAATGGTGGCATGATTGTAGTAAAATGTGCAATGTCGTCATTTCCTTCAGTTCTACCAGGTAGAATTCGTGTGTTTCATGTATTATTATATTTGCGCACTCGGTATGTCACTTGTCAATCGACATTAAGTTCCACATTTCCACCTTCACCGACCCCATTCACATTGTATGCTGATATGTCCTTCGCCATGGCTTACCTGTTGTGATTGAAGCTATATTTGCTGAGTCTATTTCTTGGGTGTATGACTTTAAAAAGTCTGCTTTTGAAACTGAATTTATGTATAATGATGTTACAAACTCTATTCAAATGTAAAAAGATTCATGCTAAATAATAGGATTATTCAGATTTATCTTCATAACCCATTAGCTATAAAAGAACCAAGAATCCTGTCACTTAGCTATATAAGCAGGTACAAGTCGCATAATTACTCTATGTTGTTTGAAGTTGATCATATTTCAAAGCCAGGTGGTGCAAGAAATGTTTTCATGGTACGTATTTCATGGAAGCTTTCAAAGCAATATTTTACAATAAATTATATCATCAACCTTGTTTACAAATATGGTTGTAAATAACAACCAATACCTGTCCTTGTTTAGCATATAGTTGATCGAAGATACCGCAAGTATAAAAACCATTTGAGTGGATGATATATATTTATTAGATCATGTCTGCTATGTATTGCAGAATACCGTTATGAATAATCAACGTTGTTTAAAATAAAAATGCAAGAAAAATATATATAACCTATTATTGAATACCTTTTTCCTATCATTGAATACTTAACATACCGCAGATGAATGGTTTTGTAAGTAAAAAACACAGATTTAGTGGAGATCTTGTCAAATATTGATTGCAGAAGAAAGTGACTAAAGGAATATAATGTGACTATAAAGTCTGTAAAGATACATTTGGTATAGGTCTACATGCCACAGACACTTCTGGTTTGATAACAGGATATATCTGATGTATTTTTACCTTTTGTTTACAGATGTGTATGATCCGATAAGATAGACGTTTTATCTAATTTATTTGGACATATGGACGACGCTGAGTAAAGTATGAGATTTTTAATCAGATTAATTGACGATATAAACTAATTTGTTCATCAGATTCACATGATAGATCGTAAACATCACACGATAACGAGGAGTGTAAATTATTAGCTTTTAATTATAATCCAGTCTAAAAACAAGCAGGCAACTTTAGAAATATCTTTAGAATAAAAGGCGTTTGCAATATTTTCTTTTACGTGAGATATAGTCGAATGGGTATATATGACACACATTTTTTTTCAAATCTTTAGTTGTATACATGAGTATATGCTAAATTGTATATTTATTCGTGTAATCCAATGTTGTTTTAATGCGATATATGCAAAAAACGCTATATATTTGATAGC